TCCTCCTCGTGTTCCTCTTCCTCTTCCTCGTCCTTGCCCTTCCACTCCTCTTCCTCGTCCTCCCCTTCATGTTGCTTCGTCTCCCTTTTGCGATCAGAGTCAATAGGAAAAAAAACAAAACCACCATAGCCTGTTTCGGCCCCCTTTCTCAACGCCATTATCATCTTACCTTGTCCTCACATATAGTGCTCCTTATCTTTCATCTTCATCGGCATCTTCATACTCATTCACGTCAGTCAGCGTCGTCATGGTGGGGTGCTTGGACTCTCTCTCTCTCTCTCTCTCTCTCTCTCTCTCTCTCTCTCTCTCTCTCTCTCTCTCTCTCTCTCTCTCGCGCGCGCGCGTGCGCACACACCCACCCACCTGTGTTCGTGCGTTTGTGTGAACCCCCCCAAAAAAGCACGACTCTGCCGGACTGTTTCGTTGGACTTTCACCAACTCATCAGGAGGTTGAACCCCAACAGTCTGCCCATGATGCATTTGCGTGCACGTGCGTGTGTGCGTGTCCATCCGTGAGTGAATGTGCGTGTGTGCGCGTGCATGTGTGCATGTGCGTGAGTTTGTGCATGTGCTTGTTCAAGCGGGCAGGCGGGCAGGCGGGCAGGCGGGCCGGCGGGCGGGCGGCCGGGCGGCCGTGTGAGTGAGTGCTGTCTCGTTCGCAATACACAGGCTCCGTGCGCCGCCGAAGACATGCGCGGGGGCCGAACTGCTGCGCCCTATAGGAGACCGGCCCCCCTGGAACTGGTTTTTCCCCACGCCTGGCTAATCTGGGCCGTTGGCCAACTGGTACCGGGCCGACGGCCCGGATTTCCGCGCGATCTGAATCTTAAGACTCTAAGATCGCGCGGCGATCCAGGCCGTTCGTCAAAGCGGACGGCCTGGATCGCCGCGCCCTATAGGAGACCGGCCCCCCTGGAACTGGTTTTTCCCCACGCCTGGCTAATCTGGGCCGTTGGCCAACTGGTACCGAGCGGACGGCCTGGATCGCCGCGCGATCTTAGTCTTAAAGTCTTAAAGTCTCAAGATCGCGCGGAAATCCGGGCCGTCGGCTGGTAGGCCTCAGGCGGCCCGGATCGGCCAAACGCTGCGCGCCGAATAGCGATTTCTATAAGTGTAGGGACACCCACCCCAATTCTATAAGACAGAGAGAACATGGTTCGGAATGATCTGAAAGGTAACGTTGTGGTCCATATGGAAGGAAAGGTGCTACAGAACCATCGAGGGACTCTCAACTCCAAGGGAGAAGGTATGGGCGGAGACAAGGACCTTGATCCAGGCTGAGATTCTCTGCAAGTGGCATAAGACAAGACACTCAACGCCAGATGAGGAAGAGCAACAGAGAAGAATCAAGGCAAAATTCACGAAGGTGTGGCTGGCAGGGGGCAAAGTCGCAGAGATAAATGACCTTTGCATAAGGTGGAAAGACTGGCACAACTCAGAAGCAGGGTGGAGAAGGCAGAGTTCCCAGCCAGCAGACGAACAAGATCCATCACTGGCCACATAATATCGAAGGGCAATTTCCAAGTCTGCATCCTGCGTAGCGTCTTTTACCTTTCTTGCTCTTTATTTTTATCTGACAGGCTCATGGTGTGGACCTGAGAGGAAAGATGGAAGCAAGGCAAGCTCACAGTCAATCCTCCACGATGATGGAGTAATCAATGTTGATCAGGGGTCCTTCGGCCAGACGGAAGGAAGCGTGAGTGCGTGTCCGGGTGTAACATTTTATTCTGACTTGCTGGTGGAATAGGAACCGGACTGATGCTCCCCAGAATGGAGATTGAGCCAGGGCCATAAGGACCTGTTTTATTTATAAAAAATAAAAAAGTTAAAATACCAATTGGGAATAAGATCAAGATTCAATGCAGGAAGAGCAGGGCCATTACAGCAGCTATATCATTCTGAGGTCACCTAGACTGCAAAAGTCACCTGGTCAGGCATGAGCGGCCATGTAACCACCAGCCCGCACGGGGGACCGGGGGGAGACCTCACTCACCTGGGAAACAAATGCGGCAGGTCAACAAAAAGTTGAAAATAAAAGAAACAAAGTAAATACTAAATAGAAGAATGGTGGTGGTGGCAGAGGGGAGGAGGGCGAGAAGGGGTGCCGGGGGGGCAGGGGGGGGAGGGGCTGCCTCATGGCTTGATCTCTACTCAGCGTGAGTTAGTCAGAATCCAACCTTACCTTCTAATTTTCACAATTGTTCACCCAGGAGCACAGTGGGAGGTCTAAAATTCTCTAAATGTGTTTGGACTCTGGAGGGGTTCAAGTTAGGAGGGGACTTCAGCATCTTACTATTTTGAAAATACTATTTTCCTTTTTATCTTGAATTTGAGGAGTTTCCAAGTTGCCTTCATCCAAAGTTGCTTGTATTGCAATTCTACACATCATTTTTTGTGCAGAAGAGGAGGAAAAGGAAGGGAGGGAGGGAGGGAGGGAGGAGGAGGAGGAGAAGAGGAAAGAAGGATTTCAAAAAAGAAAAGGAATACAAAGCAGGAGGAGGAGGAAGAGAAGGAGAAGAAGATGATGAAGATGGAGCAGCAGAGGGACGAGGAGGGGAAGAAAAAGAAGAAGGAAGAGGAGGAGAAGAAGAGAAGAAAAGAAGAAGACAAAGAAGCAGTTGGGAGGAGGAGGAGTGCACTAGAACTAGAAGTCATCGGCACACAGCCAGGCCGAGCTGCCTTCAGAAGAATCTGCCTCACCATGTACTGTTTCACATTTAGCAGACTCCTTCAATCAAGGTGAAAGAAAACAGGTTCACGTTAAGCTACCACAAGAAGTAGCATGGCCACAAGCCAAGCCCTATTCATGCAAAATAGAACTACCGGTAGTGTACCTGAGATATAGATATAGACTCATTATAGAGAGACCACAACTGACCTATTAATAACCTGCTTGCATTGGCCTCCATCTTTGCGTACCCCCCGACAAATTCCAAAATCTGGGGATATCCCAAGCGTGATAATGTTATTGCTTTGCTGTGCTGCAACCCATTGGTGTCCCTTCGAAAAAACAAGGAGCACCATACACACCAACCAGACAAGCAAATTGTTAATTACGATGAGCGCCAGGTGCCATAGCAGCAGTAAAGCTCGTAGGTTAGGAAAGAGAGAAGAGATTCAAAGAGGAAGCTGAATCGTCAGATGCAAAAGCACAGCAGCAGTTGCCCTCAACACACACATCAATCCATGTTGGCAGTGAGGCTGCTGTTAGCCATAGACGATGACTGCCAGGTGACATAGCAGTCGTCGAGCTCGTAGGGTAGGGGTTAGAGGTTAGAGAAGACATTCATGAGGAAGTGAGGCCAGAGGCTTGAGAGAGCGATCATCCTACTCTTTTTGTTGTTTCCTGCTGGCCATAGCCTCCCAGGTGTAAGCATACATATTACCTACAAACTCATTGTACAAGACAATGATTTCCAAGCTTTTTTTTTTCCTTTCTTTTCCCCCCTGGCATCTCGTGTTTTTGGTTTGCAACTCTCGTGTGCCGAAGTGCGCTCTCAGTGCGACCTGAGATGCTGGTTTGAGGTGTATGGACGAAGCACAGAAATCCAGAATGCAAAATCACACTGAAGTCCAAGTATTCAAAGCCAAAGCAGATAGCACATAGAACCGAGTAACCATCCCATTGAGAATGATACAGAAGAATCGTGAGTCAATGTCCATGCCCAACAGGGCAACACCAACAGCATAACCCAAATGTAGTAACCATCCCATTGAGAATGATACAGAAGAATCGTGAGTCAATGTCCATGCCCAACAGGGCAACACCAACAGCATAACCCAAATGTAGCTCTCTCTTGTGAATGGCGCCCTATCTACTCTACAGCCTATCCTACAACTACAGCAATGAACAGCAACCAGACAACTTGACTACCAGCGAGTGATGATGTCAACACCAATGCAGACCTCCACCATCACCAGGTACGTGTCCTCTTCCCCACACTCTCCCTTGTTACCCACACAGCGCCCTTCACCTCTGAAGTACCACCTTCGCCCTCACCTCCCCTGCACCCTCTTGCGGCCCAGGCTATGGCCGCCAGTGCCCTCAGTACAGGCAGCGCCCTACCGCCTAGCGCTGGCCTGCTTGCTCTTAGCGCAGCACTGCCTTGCACAGCGCAGCACACATGCATCCGCGCAGCGTGCCCGCATGTGCCAGCATTGGCCAAGATGCCTGCCCACTCGCCCTGCTTGCCTATATGCCAGTGCTGCGTGTGGGCGGCCTCCCTTCAGCCTGCGACTGGGCCCCAGTGGCTGAACCCAGCCCGATACAGTTGAGGCCCGGGGCAATGCAGTTGCGCCTCTTTCATCAAGGCCTGTGGCCAGATTCAGATAGTGGGCCGATTTCCCTTTGGCATTATCGGCCTCTATACCCAGCATGCATTGTAGGCCTCACGTTCAAGTGCCCAGGGCCTAACTAACTCAGAGGCCCTGGGATCTCCACATTTGAAGAGATTCGAGACTCGGTGCACTCCAACCAACTGGCGTGCTGCAACTGTATGGACCCCGACTTCGGGAAATGTTTGCACAAAGGGCTTTTGTTGATTTGCTGGCCCGCCTTCACTTAGGGCGGGCACTGGCTTGCTGGGGCCTTAGCCCAGAACATGTACATCATGGCAAGGCCCCTTCTTGAGGGCTCAATCCTCACATTCCATCTCCCTTAGCTTCGAAAGTCCGCTGAGATGCTTACTTCGCAGGTGCCTTCCCCTTGAGCTGTTTTTCATATTCAGCCACCTGAGGTGCTGTCTGTAGCAGCTCCTCTCCAGTGTATCACCAATCTTCTTTAGAATCAGTATGATGCCTGAATCTGACCTAGTATAGTCATCTGGGTTTTGGATGTCTCCCTCTGCCCAGATGTCTTGGAACAGGCATGTCTCTATGCTCCAGATTGCCGTCAACGTCCGCGTGGCCATCCATGGTTGGGGGTAGCATCGATCTCCTTGAAGGGAATTGATCAGTCTCAGCGAAAGGTGCAAGCTTTGAGGTATGAAAAATTGGGTAGTGCGCAGGTGATCAGGGATACGGATACCGTAGGGTGGATCATCCTAATCATTCCCCGCTACATCCTAGACTTCCCGTGATGGATCAACTAACCTTTTATTCCCTGCCTTATCCAGAAAGCTTAACCCATCCATCAGGAGATGGTCTTTCCGTTAGGCTTCCACCATCGATTGAGTTAGCTCGTGAGATATGCCAAATTCAGAAACTAGTGCCCTACATGACAGCGCATCAGCAACTTGTTACCCTCTCCCTTCAATTGTTTGAGGGCATTGGAGAGAACAGGTTGAGTCTTTAGTCCACTTTCGAATCTGATGATCAGTCCTTGAGTAGAAGAATCTACCCAACAGTTAGTGTTTCTAGTGGATTAGAACCTTGTATAGGGCATAGAGTTCCCTCTCTTAAGTGGACTTAGCCAACTTCTTAGATGACATCCTTTTGCTCATACTTAATCGGCCTCAACTTCTTCCCTGCTTGCTGAGCCAGCACTGTGCCAATCCCATAATGGTTAGCGTCAGTGGTTACTATAAATGGCCTCTGAGGATCGGTGATCATTAGAAACTCGTGATTCATGACTGCATGCTTCAATCATTGAAGGCAGCCTCACACTCATCACTCCAGTCCCATGAGGTGTCAAGTCGAGTATGATCTATCAAAGGAGAGACGACTGTAGAATAGTTCTTTACGAAACTCCTATAGTAGCCGCTCATTCCTAAGGAAGATCTAACCTCAGTCATCCTCTAAGGATGTGGCCAGTCCCTAGTACTAGACACTTAGAGGCTTTGCGTTCTTCACTATGATGGCTTTGAGGCCTCTATAATCAAAGCGCATCCTCAAACTTCCTCCCTCCTTCGTTACAGACAACACTGGGGATCCGAAAGGAGAAATACTTAAGCCGTTTACATCCCTTTTCTGTCAGCTCCTTCAGTTGTCGATAGAGTTCGTCCCACTCGGCCTAGGCCATCCTATAGATTCTTCCCTTTTTGGGGTTTTACTCCCTGGAATTATTTCTAGGGTGTGGTCTATCTCCCTTTTAACGACTCCTGTGGGCTTCTTGAACAGATCAAGGAACTTAGCGACGATGTAAAATAAGTACATACCCTCCTCTTGGTTTTATAGTATTATAGAATGTTGTTGTTCACAAGTACGCATAAGACTCAAACAACCAACTAGCCTTCCACTTAGCTAGTCTAATGGTTCTCCTATCAGGCAACTCATGCTTCAGCACTTTCTTGTCCCAGTCCAACTGGGGTTTGACAACCTCAAGGTAGTACATTCCTAACAGCATGTCGAATGACAACTCGTCACTAATCTGGAACAAAATCCTATGATTAAGTTCCCCTCCTCCAAAAGAGAAGGTCCAGACTACATCCTTGACATAGTCTTTCTCTCACTACAAGCGCTCGTTGTTGGCCAAAGTAGATGCTACTTGTCTACTAAGGTTTTGTACCTGGTCCTGTGGCGCAGCCTTTCCAT